GGATATTGGACTGATTACTACATGCCTCTGATAAGCTGGAGCATGAGCTTCCAGCTCATGAACTGTGTGCTAAGCAGCAGACAGGAATCCTGCCTGCTGGAGAAAAGCAGTCTGCCAAATTCTTTAACTGGCTTAGAAAAAACACAGATATGTAAAAAATCAGTATTGAGCAGCATTAAAGATCTCCTCTCTCACTGTTGTACCATGACCCAACTTTGCTGCTATTATATTTGCACCAGACAAAAGGAGAGGACAGTATTTTCCACGTCAACAACTTGATGCAAGGACCTGTCATTACGTTTATGACATAAAATAAAGTTAACACAGATGAGCAAAGAATTAGGTGGCTGAAGGCTGCAAGATTAGGTGTTGACACATGCTTTCTTGGCATCTTCTTTGTGAATGATTTTAATGAAAACTACTGACTTCGATACAGCAAATATTAGGAAGAATGAAACGTGATGAAGAGTCAGTGTCAGTTGAAAAATGCAGGTCTCAATAAATGTCTCTGCAAATCAAACAGGGAGACTTCTGCCATACAAAGGGCTAACACAATGAAAGGGTTGTACAAAGGAAAAGGTGGCAGATTTCAAGTACGAGGAAGAGAGCAACAGGCAAGAGAAAAGGGTAAGAGACTGGAGAGCCTTGGATGCATGAGTAAAACAGCAATGGTGCGGTATCAAATTGTGGTTTTAAAACAACATAAGCAAGACAGGTCCAAAATAGTTTGAACTATTTGGACAAGCTTCAGTGATGTGAAGTTCTGCAAAATTAAACCTACAGCACATGCTGTATGAGAGGACTGGAGGGTGGTACATACTTTCAGCTGGTATGGCTGTTCCCGCTTCTTGATCACATCTAACAGGCTCCACAAGCAGCAGTGCAACCACAAAGGCTAAAGGAGCTGCAAGGACCACTCTTCTCAGCAGGCAGGGTGCCAGCATCTTGGGAATGGCTGCTTCTCAGTTTATAAAGAGATAAAAACAAGTTAGTGAGGAGAACAGTAAAAGTACAAGGGGTTTGTGACAGAGAACTTCATGTCCATGATGGGTAAAGCATTGACAGTCTTCCTTTGACAGAAAATAAATATCCCAAAATATAGAGCTTGGGCCAAAGTTTTCTGGACTTTTCCAGCAGTGAACATAAAACCCAATGAGGAGAGAATATCCCTAGACATGAAGGAAAACATCAGACGTCCCTAGACAGTTTCTGGTTTCATTTACAAGCGAGGATACCAGCAGCTTTGCCTGCTCTGTGACTCCAATTCTTTTTGTATCTACACAGTCCCAAACTAGTACAGCTAATTGGACAGCTGGCTCGCTGTTACACTTTGAGACCAAAGCTGCATTATAGAGCTAGAAGAAATACCTCTGAACCTGGAAATGAGGGTTTTACCCCCTGGCTTGCTCTGTTGGTGCACCATCTTTTCCCAAGTAACCATTAACTACACATCACACTAATGATAAAAACTTATTCCTTTAGTCAAGTAGCTGAAGGAAAAGACCTTTATTAAATCTCCACAAATTAATAGGTAAAAATTTCTAATGGTAAAATGCATGAAAACGTTTTCACCTTCTGTTTCCCCTCCTAATCTGAGCTTCAGAACTTAATTTACAGCCATCCATTTGTTGCTGAACATCACAGCCAGGCCACACCATGCCCCGAAGCCGGGTCCAGCAACAATGCCCCTTCACACAGAGGCAGAATTCTTTATAAGAACACAGGTTTCAAATGAGTTATGTTCTTGATCCAACAGGTAAACTGTTCAGATCAAAAGGAAACACAGGAAACTTGGACTGGCTCAAGCTGTAACTGCCTGTTAGAGATTCCAATCCAAGCCTCAAGGATCCTGGCACACTGCTAGGGTAGTCCTTAGTTCAGCCAAGTTTACCTTCAATTCCTGTGTGTTCAAATGGAATAAAGAAAGAATCAAATAAGGTTAAGTTGCAGCAACACAATAAAATCCACCTGAAAAATCTCTTCACCTAAACTCTGGAAAGCAGGACAATGTTCTGTCTCGTTCTTGGCTTTAATGGTGCATACTAAGCAAAAGGTGTTGCAGAACATCAAATATGCATGTACTGAATGCAAGAGTACAGCACTCGACAAACAGCTTGTATTTCACGTTTGGAGGGGCAGTATATATCCAATCCACCGTTTCAGACACAGCTAACCTGAAGCTGCAAGTTCTGCATGAACACTTGCACCACGTGCAAACCAGCAATCCATCCAGTAAAGGAGCAGCATTATACACATCCCTTTCCTGTGCACCTCAACCAAAACATAAGTGTAGGGGATGGTTCAGAAGTCAGAGACACACAGGTACATGTACAGTTACAGATATATTTGAGCCCACACTAAAATAAAGATCTAGTAATGTTATTCCTATGACCTCAGAACTGGGTTTCCTATCCCTCACACTATTTACAAGTATTGGATAGGATCCTTTTCTTTATTCCTACAATACTTGAAACGAAGGGATTACAATTATAACAAGTATCTTGGGTTTTCTGTTTAACGAACGGTGATCTGCAATCAAAGCAAGTACAATAAAAGACACCAGGCTTTGCAACAGGATGCAACAGAGTGTCTCCAAGTCACAGTAAATCAGGATAACACCAGCCTCCTTTGAAGGTCCCTAATGCAGAAGCCTCCTGTCAGCAGGGGCAGAGGTTATTCTCATAGTTAACTGAGAGCTACAAAGGTTCAACAAATAAAGCAAATACCTTGCTGAACTTGTTCAGGGTACCTTTCACATCACCCACCCCATATTCAGCTCAGCTTCGGATGTGAGCCCCACTGCAGAACAACTGCTCCTCTAACTACTGCCTCAGTTATTCCATGGGAATTTGCTGTCTGCAAGGAAGAATCCTGACAGGCTTCAAGGGCGGTTTTTCCCTGCTGTGCAAGTGGGAGACAGGTCTGTGCATGGGCTTCTGTGAAAGATAAAAGTCACCCCCTCTAACAAAGGAAGAAAATATCAGTACCTGATCTCTCTCTCGTCTTTGTGATGGTCTCTTTGAAATGGCCGCTGCAAACTGCTAACAGAACAAGTGCAGCATTTCTGAGCATGTGCACTGTCTCTTTTTAACCTTCTCTGAAAGAGGTTATTACTATGGGGAGATTTCTGCCATGGCAACAATGCAGAGCACTGCAGCACACAGCACAGATTTAAAGAGGCACAGACTGTGTCTTCCAGGTCTGGAGAAGGATGTTTCTGCCTTGACATGTGAGTTCCTGCAGGGACTTACCTGCTCCAGGTAAGGTTTCTAAAGCCAGGCCATTTGATTCGCCTCTCCTGAATGGCTTTCCCGAAGCCTGCTCAGCTGGATGCCTGATGCAAGCAACTTGCTTCCCTAGTGCCTGAAACTAACCGTGACAAATTACACCTGCCTTATGGGAAACCAGGAAAAACCACAGGATCGCCCTCAGGAACTGCAGGACACGTCACGGGTGAGGCTTTGGCGAAGGGCAGGAACTGTTCAGTGCACAGTCTGACATTGAATGGTTTGAGTTACAGGGGTCATAATGACCTATGCCTGCTCTCCTAGGCGCTCCTGTGATCCCAGTCTCAGAGATGCCAAAGGAGGAGTGCAGACACTTAAATTCTGAGTGAGAACTTGAGTCCCAGCTCAGAGTAAACTTCACCCCCCTTTTCCAGCCTGCACCTCTGCTCCCCTGTCAATGCCCCCACAAACTATACTCCAGAACAACACTGATGGCACTTATGCTGAATCACAGAATGGTTTGGGTTGGAAAGGACCTTAAGACTATCCAGTTCCAACCCCCTGCCATGGGCAGGGATGTCTCACCCTAGACCATGTCACCCAAGGCTCTGTCCAGCCTGGCCTTGAACACTGCCAGGGATGGAGGATTCACTGCTTCTTTGGGCAACCCATTCCAGTGCCTCACCACCCGCACAGTAAAGAACTTCTTCCTTATATCCAACCTGAACTTACCCTGTTTTAGTTTGAACCCATTACTCCTTGTCCAATACAATAATGGGGTGCAGATGATAAAAGTGCTCTTCTCAAAGCAAAGCCAAGTTCAGGGGTTGCATCACCCCCCAAAAACACACACCCCATCATGAGTTACACACTACCAGCTCTTGATCCAGATGAAGGGCAGCTGAGGGCAGGGGCAGCACTGAGGACTGTGCTCTCTGTTTGCTTTAGCTGGTTCAATATGGACTCAATTTTAAATGCTTTCATGGTGAAAGCAGGGGGTACACAGTGTCCAGGAAGGTCAGGCACAAAACCTTCTTATTCTTTCATGAGCAGAAACTCCTCATAATTATGCTAACATTTTTCTTCTCAACATGTTCTATAACCTGTGCCTCCCGTGCAGCCCTAGGGGAGTGGTTTGCTCCCATTAATTCAACTTTTTAAGAAAGATGCTAAAGTTTCAGGTTGTTCAGTGTGGAACTGTGCTGCTGTATGAAGTTACAGCATCCATGAGCAGTCAGGAGGGGATTAGTTACAGTACTGCAATCCTTGTACATCACAAAAACAGAAAGAAGGGGAAAATCATTTTTAGAGACTGCTCTTTTGGGCAAACAAGATTTACCATTGTTCCTGCAGAGATAAACATACAGGCTTTGATCTGATTCGGTATCTGCCTGTACACAAGTGACAAATACAGAGCTTTATTCATGATGATTCTCAGCTGTCTATTCTTACACCTTTGTCTCTCTTCCTGATAAGTAATAGCTATTCACATACATATATATCTACCTATATGTATATGCTTTTTCTTAACCCCAGTAAATCTTACCCTGTTCTCCTGAACCCTGTCCTTTTTTTATTACAGCAGTAACACAAGCAGCCAGTCCCAGTATCTTGGATGTTATTCATTCTCCTAGACCCAGGCAATGGGGTTCTGACTCCATTAAATAAAACTCTACAAATCTATTTCTGCCATTCTCAGCTGCCAAATTCTTTGTTTTAAGCATCTCACACCAGTTACTGTGATGTCCCTTCTTCAGCCTTGTCCTAAATCTACTTGTCCTGCAAGGAACAAAGTCTCTTTTAGTGCTTTAACCATATTTCCCCTTTATTCACTTCTCCCCACTCTGTGCTGTGTTAAGCAGTGATCAGAATAAACAGAGATCAGAATGTTATAACCTGACAAGAACTAAATTGAAACTCATAACACTGTCAGAATTAGATCAATGTTAATAACAAGTAGTAAAAAAAAATCACAGTTCTATATGCATATGTGCTTTCAAGCACCCCTATTTTGCAGAATGAGCTATCAATTACTCTAAGGTAAGAATATATGTAAAAGCAAGTAACCATAATGAAAGAAAAGCCTTGAAAGAAAAAGAACAAGATAATATCAGCTTTTCACTGAAGCTAACGTTTTCTCACTGGAGATCTCCCACAGAGGAGGCAGATCCTCCAGATCAGGGCATTTTTATTTTAAAAATGTTATGAAAAGATTATTTTGACAATTTTCAAATTGATAATTTCTGTTTTTTTACTTCAAAATGATCTCATTTTAAACTAAGCTTAACAGAGTAAAAATACATTTCACGCTCTGATCATGGAGTGGAAGAAGCTCTTACAATAAGGGTACTGGGGCACATCCCCACCAGAACATTACAACTCAAATAAAATCTTTCCTTCTCCCTTACTCCTCCTCACCAAGCATGGGTGGTACAGATGCTAACCCAAGGGCACCCCAAAACTGGAAGTACAGACCAGAACTGGGGCTACACAGCAGCTGCACAACAGCCCTTGAATGCGATGCCACTGGTATGCGCAAGTGACATTTGGGTGAAGGCTGGAATGTCCTGATTCCCCAGTTGCCCTGAGGATCATTCATGAGGTAAGCAGATAGAATTTATAGCTTCTTTCTATAATGCAGTCGAACACAGTGGGTTATTATTTTCTTCAAGATCCCTGCCAGCTAAAAAGCATCAAAGCATCATTTCTGAGGTTTCAATATTTCATCTTGATAGCACATGTTTTGATACTATAAATATTTCTGTGGGATTGGGAGAAAAGCTCAAGCCTTTACCTCTAAGCCTCTTCACTGCTTGGTCTCTCCTCGTCTCTTATATCTAATACTCTGTCACAGCAGAAAACTTGCTTCCCTCACTGAAGATAACAGATTCTGTCGCTTCTCCTGCAGACACTTTTATGCTTTCTCACAGCCTGCTCTCTAAATCATGGTAAAAACCTCCCCACAAGGAACTGTCTTGTCTTCCATCAAATCCCCTTCTATGCTTTACCTCTGCCACGAATCCTACAAAGCCCTGCTGCCTGGCAGAGCCTGGGAGGAACCTGGCAGGGACTGCTCCTGGCATGCAAATGGGCTCCTTATACCAGTATGTCACTCTCACTGAGTGTGCGCCTTGTCATCCCACCATAACCCCAGGCTGCCACAGCTGGAGGGCAGGGGCTGTGTTTGCACTTGTTGGCACAGCACCACAAGGCTGGAGTGTTGATTGAGGCCTTCGGGCAGATGTGATAGGTAATACTGGCTAACTACCTAAAGCCGGTCACACTGACGCACACTGATGTATAAGCTATTCATACAGCAAGCCTCTTATTCTTTTCCTTTCAATTTTAAGCTCTTGGGAAGTGTCAGAGTGACCAGATTAAGAAACGAAGCCTTCCTTTGTTCCCTGAACAGGTCTCACATACCTTGGTAGCAGCAAATAACTGCAATTGCTCCTCCTTCCATTTTCCTCACCATCAATTTTAGGGCTAATTTCCTTGTCAGTAACTTTGATTTCTGCAGTCGGAGGATGGCTCATCTGAGATCATTCTAGGCCCTAAAAGTCTTAAGTTTCAGTGCAACACCGAGGCTGGGCTCACATCCAAGTCTGATTTTTGCACACAGCTCTTAGGGAGACCTGCACTGTCAGAACTACTTATTGCTTTTTGGATGAGATGCTAAACTGAAGTCAAACCTTTCAGCATCTCTCTGGGAGTGGAAAAGCATTTAAAAATCCCATGGCAATATTCAGGAAGGGTTAGCATTAGCTGAGCTATCCTTAGCTTGCACTGTTCCCATCCACCCTCCTGCACACACATCTTTAGGGAAATAATTTGTGTTCCAAGCTGTGCCTGAGCTATTTCTAAGTATGTAACAGTTGCGATTTTAACTGGTTTGCTAAATCCACAGGGATGTCTTGAGTACTTTGCAGCAACTATACAAATACGCACACATATGAATGGGCTTTGAACTGGAGGGGAATAACACCGCTATGCTTCAAAGCTTCCCATCCTAGCATGAGACTTCGAAGTCCAGAAGTCTCTTCCAGCACGGGCTGCCTACAAAAGTAAAGAGAAGATCTCTTAGCTGAGCAGCTGTGCTCTCTTAGCCAGTTTCCTTGCAAAAGCTGCCGTGAAAAATAGCAACAGAGGAAACTAAAGGAAATGGGATTGCTAAAATTGGAAGCTTACCAATGTCCCTTTTCCCTCCACAAGGTGTTTATTATCCAGTGTCTGCATAAGGACACCCAGTCAAGGGGCTTCACATCAATTCCCTGCTCTAGGAATGAACTCCTTTGCAACTAGGAGACTGATCAGGCTGGCTTTTATGACACCAATACTTGGATCTCATTGGTAATCAACAGTTCTGACATTAAGATCCCTATGATTTAATGGCTTAAAGATGGATGTAACCTTTATGCTTGAAAGCAGCATCTTTAACCTGAGTTCCAGTTTGCAAGATATTTGCAGGCTGACAGATATGGATTCTCCTTTTTACATGTTTATTCTTCTTTCTCTAATGCAGTGCTCTGAATTGCAAGGTGGTTACTGCAGTACTGTCCTGATGTTGCACTGTGACTGCACAGTTTCCAGCTTAGAGTTTACCCAAGTCTGCCTTCAAAATGCCTTCTGAATGAATTCCTTATCTGTGATCCAGGGATGTTTTTAGGCAGTGGCCATTGACAAATGAGCAATTAATATTCCTTAAGTACAATTATAGTGGTCACAATCTTGGGTTTTCCAGCATCTCAGCCAAGAGGGCTCCTTCATCCTGTTGGAGCGTGTTCAGAGGAGGGCCATGAAGATGCTCAGAGGGCTGGAGCATGTCTCCTATGAAGGCAGGCTGACAGAGTTGGGACTGTTCAGCCCGGAGAAGGCTCAATGGGGACCTTATTGCAGCCTTTCAATACTTAAAGGGGGCCTGCAAGAAAGATTTTGACAGACTTTTTAGCAGGGCCTATTGTGCTTGGACAAGGGGTCCTCAGGGTAAATTTAGCTTAGATATAAAGAAGAAATTTTTTTTCAATAAGGGTGCTGAAGCACTGGAACAGGCTGCCCAGAGAGGTGGCAGATGCCCCATCCCTAGAAACATTCAAAGCCAGGTTGGATGGGCCTCTGAGCAACTTGATCTAGTTGAAGATGCCCCTGCTCATTGTAGGGGGCTTGGAATTAGATGACCTTTGAAGGTCCCTTCCAACCCAAACTCTTGTATGATTCTGTGAGCTACAAATTGTTGCTCAGGGGATGCAGACATCAGGGACATCATGAAGAACGTGATGCCATTACACAACATTATTGTATAGGGTACTCCCTAGACATGTCTCATTACCACAACTTCTGTGGATTACTGTTTTTAGCAATTTAACCTCAGCAAATCAAGAAAAACAGGATTTTTCACTGTTATGCTGGTACCCAGAACTGCCAGGAAGCCATAAACATATCTGATAGGTGAATTTGCCTGCCAAAACTCAGCATTGCCTGCATGGGAATTGGACAGGTACTTATACAGTTTTAGTAGCCTGAAATAGTGCTTATGTTTAAAAGCAGGAGCAGGTTATTTACAGTGCAGCCAAGTTTTCAAGGTGAGGACGAAGAGATGTCATAGAAGGTATTGCACTGGGTGCTTAGAGATGTGCACAGGATCTGTCTTTCAGCTCAGCTCCTCCCTTATTTTGCCTCTGCTCCTTTCATATACTCCTCTTTCCTCTTATACAACTTCTGCTGTAATTATTCATTCTCTTCACCTCCGTCCCTTAGGTCTTTGTCCCCCACTGCTCGCCCTTTGTTCTCTCAGCCCTTGATGTTCTCCTGCAATTCAATGCTCAGCTGCAGTGTGGGAACACTGGCCCTGGTTTGGGCCCTCAGCTGTCTTGAGAGTAGTTTAGCAACCTTCCAAAGAAATAGTTGCTTGTGCACCTCTGCACCACCTTATCCCTCTGCCAAAATGCTACTGTTCTCTAGAAAGATGGCTGGAGCAAACACATTGGCTTCCCATCTCCTTCTAGCTGATAGTCTGGCATACAATGCCAGAACGGATCATAGAGAGCTCTGTAAAGGGCAACACGGAGTGTGACTGAAGGACTGCATGCTTGTCACATCAGCTCAGCTGGCTTTCTGATCCTAACACAGCCAGCTCCAAGAAGCACAGACTGAGAACAAAGATGTAGATGAATGTAAACCACAGAGACACTCCTGAGAACTTCAAACATGCATGGATGTCTCTCAGAATACTGCAGAGGCACTCAGTGACAGAGGCTGCCCGAGTTCAGTCAATAAATCAGTATGGGCACTGGGACTGTGCTGAATCACTGTGCATCAGCTCTTTGGGGACAGTAAGACAGGCAGGCGAGTGCTGGGAGAAAAACCTGCCCAATCCAGCTCTCCATAAATTAACAGATGGCTGCAAGTGGAACCGTCAGGAATTAGCAGGGGGCCATAGGAGTGCTGAAAAGACCTCACTAAGAGGCTTCCACCTTCTCCATACAGACCCATTTGGCCTAAGACTTTCTGCTTATTTTTAGGGATATAAAGACAAAGCAGTAACCACCTGGCTATTCTGCTTCATTGCCTCTGGATGAGAAATCTGCCAGGGAGGACTGCCCTGTCCCCAGGAAGGTGGGCAGCCCACAGTATGGTCCTGCATTAAGTGCTATGCTTGAATATGTGATAATGCACAAACTCCTTCTTATCTCCATATCTGAACAAAAAGAACAAGGCAGAGCTCTCAATTGCGTAAGTACTTTTCTTTTGGCAAGGAAGCTTCTCTGGGCAAGCATCCTGCATTTTTATCCTAGAGAGCAGCGTCCTCTCCTCAGAAAGCAGGTATCTTTAACTTAGTTTCCCACTACATTCTGGAAATTCCATCAGGAGGGAGAAAAAAGTGATTATGTGAATGTTAAAAGATCCAGTTGCTCAAAGCATAAATTCCTGCACTGTCTATGCTAACAGAGTACTTGTGATATGCTGATTTTGCTAACATGAGCAGCCACCTTTCAAGAGTTACTCTCTAATCTAACATGAGCCTGAATCACTGTGGGGCAAGGGGTTCACATCTAGGGCATGTGGTTGTTATATGGGAAAATCTTTTAATAAGCAATTTGAAATAAGTACTTTTCAAGATTAAAAAAAATCTAATTCCTGTGGATTTAGGTCAACTTCACAATACAGTTGAGGCAAAGAAAGGTTTTCAAGTAGCATTAGATAAAGTATCCTTTTAACACAGGTTCCAGGGCTCTACAGTGTTTGAAAAAGCATGTATTATAGATGGCAGATAGATGTGGCTACAGCATACTGGGTTGTTAAAGCTGAATTAAACTTTTACTGTGATCCTCACTTAAACCTCTCCTATTGCTAGTTTTTTCATACACTGTCCTGGAATAGAAGTTAATTTAGGGAAAATACTTTACACAGAATTGATGCACTGGTGTGAGAACAAAACAAACCTACCATTCCTCATTGGCTCCAGGGGCGGGTTTGTGCCCAAAATGCTCCCATTTGGCTCAGATGTTTTTTGTACTTAAACTTGAACGGGTTTGAGTCAAAACCAAAGCACATCTGTTCAACGATTTTAAAGCCAGAAGTATTTAACATTTTTCCCTTGATGTGCACGATTTGACTCACTGCCCTGTTGTACTGACATTACTGGAGGGGCTTCGTGCATGATTTAGAAAACAAATCAGCAACACAGGACACCCAAGACGTCAAGTGGGCACACAGCATGCCATTGTGCTGGTGCAGGGCCAGGAGCTTCTTTAGGGGGGCAATTCCGAGAGGCAGTAGCTGTCAACTCCCAGTTCAAATTGAGTTCTGAGCTCAGCAACAGAGGCAAACCACCTCCCATTAGGCAGCCAGCTGCAGGACTGTGTTTCCTTGAGAGGCAGAATTGCCTGTTTCCAGCCAGAAATACATACCCTTGTTTTAAGGAGAGAAAAACAAAGCACTTCCAGACCAGCAGTGTAGCCCTCTTTAACCTGAACGCCAGGAGTGTCTCTCCTTATTAGTATCACTTAGACCTGCAAAGCTGCTTTCCTGCACTAGGCTTGCTGAAAAAGAAATAAAGAAAAGCATATGCATATTCTGAAACCTAAATCTCTGAAAGACAGGAAAATATCTGCTGGTTTACTGTCAATTGTTTTATTAGCTGCACTGTTTCTACTTAATCAACTGTTTTATTTATTGGAGAAAGTGTCAGATGGATTTGTTTTTAAAGGCTGTAATTAAGCACAGTCAGGAGTCATTAGATTATTCACAAAGCCTGCTGTTTCCCATTAACTAATAGCAACTACCAAAACAAGGGAGGGAGGGGGTATGGACTAGGCCCAGCTCCAAGTGTAAAAGTATTTTAAAGGGCAAAGGCCCACACTATGCTTAGAGATCATATCTTCATGCTATAGAATACTGTACCTAGCAATTAATTCCTTCCAAGCTGGAGCTGAAAACTGCCTCCATCTGAAAACTGAAGTTAACAAAGGATTAAACTGTCACTGTTTGCGTAAAAAAAATGGGCTTTGAAGATTGATTATACCATGAATCACCTTTTATCTTGGGATCAGCCATTTAGATCTGATGCAGGTTCTGCTTTTTTGCTAGCACTTTTTATCTAGGTGGAAAAGAAAATGGATGTTGTGGTATGGGATGTTTCTGGCTTTTCTATCTGCTAACCAGTATTAAACTGCAAATGTCACTGGAGAAAAGGAGGAGAGTATAAAGGTAGCAGAAAAGGAAACTCTCCAGAATAAACACGGTCCTAAGAGCCCATCTTGATCTGAGACAGAAAAATATTAAAGAAATACCTTTGTTGCACCTGTAATAAAAAAAAAAGCCATGAGAAAATGTTTGGCCACTGTTCGTGTCACACCATATTATGTTGGCATTCCCATTTGACGCGCAGACTTGTCAGTTTTGGCGTAGCTGTGAACTGCAGATGCTTTTAAAATAAGGGATAGAGGAAAACAGAAAAAACAGAACCTGTGCTGACTGCCTACTCCAGGTCTAAAAAGGTCTGAGAGTTGCTAGTCATACAGACAATTTCCCAGCTGCACTAACACTGAAGGGGGAGAGAACATACTCAGGTATTCTCTGTCCTTTCTCTTTCAAGCTGGTTTTCAAATCTCAGAACAGAAATATTTCCTCTCTTTCTAGAGACCAGCTGTTCAACAAGAGGTGGGAAATGGAGGCAGCAACAGAGAAGCAGAACAGAAATCTGCTCGTATTGGCATGGCTGAACTTATTAACTCATCCCTTGGCAGACAGCATGTTAAAACACAAGACAATTCGCAGAGGATTTTCCCACCTGTGAAAATGAGTTATAGTCCCTTTTTGCTGCCTCTCCAATGCTAGACATTAAACCAAGTGTGACTGGTGAGGGGCATCCTTCATCCTCAGTAACTGACTTGCAGTGGTTGGGGTTCATCATGTGTGCCACCTTTTGCTGGTTATCCCCTCCTCCAGGAGCCAATGTGGACATTGTGGAAAGGGAACTGAACTGAGGACAGATTACATAGGATGGCAAGCTGCAGGCACTGACAGGCCAGCAGCAGCCACTCACACAATAGAGAGCAAAAGACATATTGCACAGCAAACCACCCACCCAGTGCTGTGCTGCTGAGGAGCATCTCAATACAACCACATCATCAAAATCCTCCAGCCTCCCTCAAAGGTATCTCTACTGATGACAGACCCAGACTAAAGCCTGGAAATCCTCCTCCATGTGTGCTTTTACTTTGCTTCATTTTAGTGCTTTGCATTCATGTGTGGGGCTAACATCCCGTAAGATTTTCATATAAGCATTGTTCCTCTTCTACTCTTATGAAGGAGAATGTGATGCATGGGGAGCTTTAAATAGTGATGCTTCTGTGTCAGAGACAGCAGGCCAAAACCTTGCTTTTCCTTTTGGAGGGATGAGTAATAAATTAAGATGATCCTTAATATCTATAAGAGTTGTGTCTTCAGTTTGTGAGCTACTCCCCCAAAATGTATCTCCACTGGCAAACGAGGCTAAGTGAAGTTGTCAACTCTCTCAAGTTGAAAGGCTTTATTTGCCCTTGTGGTAAAAAGCTTCATAGTGCCTTGGGACAGAACTGTTAAGTCCAGCCAAGATCCCAGAGCAGTGTTTATAGTTCCCAGGCCATGGAGCAGCTGGCAACTCATGACTGAGACCTTGAGTATGACTATGGGAAGCCAGTGTAGGAAGCAGAAATCAGTTTGATATGCATGTGGGTGTTTTGAGTTGTTAAGGACACACACTCCAGTGTTCTGTAGCAGTTGTGCTTCCTGAGGACTTGTGGCATTGTGACAAGCATACAGTACCCCTACAGATCTGAGAGCCTGTTATGTTTCAGAATGCTTTCCTCTACCTTCAGATCTCTTTACCAGCCAATATGGGAAATATTTCTGGGCGCCTTTCCAGAAGCCTTTGAACTGATGCACTTGTGCAGCAAAACTCAAGTGGTACTTCACGTCCTTTTCACCTTGGTATTTGCACTGCATAAAGTATGTGCCCAACCTTTGGATGCCCACTGGCTTATTGTCTATTTACCAAAGCAGGAAGTACCTAAGAAGGAACAAAACTCAGTTAATTCTGACAGATCAATAGTATCTCACACATACTACTCGCTCAGGATTCTTAACCATCATTACTGATAATATAAGCATTAAGCTCTCCAGGTAGGTTTCCCTTCTGAATTTACACCAGTGAGGTGAGATCTAACCTTTCTTCATATTTCCAAAAGTCAATCAGGCTGCCATTGAAAAAACAGACTAAAACCACCAGCCCTTGTTCTATTCCTGTTTCTATTTAAAGGTGATAAACAGTTGATTTTACGTAAGATCTCATCAGCATTCCTTAGTCAGCACGATTGTTCTGGACTTCCTGGCAAACTGAGCAAGTAAGGTTATTTAGGAGGATGGATGGAAAGGGAAAGTAGACAACATGCTGCCACCTTTTGGTTACAGAAATGAGAACAGGTGTTATCTGAACAGAACTATCCAGTGGAAATTAAGACATTTATGCTTGTCGTCTGTAATAGAACAACCTGGAAGTCCATATAGTGTGAGATGCATCCCTTCGTGTTCTAAATGGTTGCTATGAGCTTGGCTCACCAATTTCACATTTGTTCAGTCTTCTTTGGGCTAATTAATAATTATCAATCAATAATTAATAATTCTCTTATGATAATTAATAAATTTCTCATTTAAAACATACAGGGTTGTGTTCACTCACCTAGAATTAATGCTTTGCATCACTAAACTGATTTGAGGAACACAGCTGCAGAAATAGAAGATACAAGATCTCATTAATTTAGTAGCTTGTAAGTTATTGCCTGTCATAACTTGTGTTGGGCTAAGCATGTGCACACACGTAGTTAAGTTAATGACACTTTCATTATTAGGTTTGTTATCAGTATGGTCAGTACATTACAACTTTTAACCTTAACTGTCTGAGCGAGATTTTCTGTGCTGGCTGACTGCTGAGGACCTGAAGGGTATTTTGTTTGCTTGTTTATTAAAACATGGGTTCAGCTGTCAGTGAGAATGAAACATTGAAGAATGCTCATCTTAATAAAAGAAACACAAGACTGTTCTGGTAAAGGGTGATGCAGAGTGTCAAAATCTAACAGAGGAGCTGTCTGCATCTGGGATGTGCTTCTCACTGCTCCTATGAGTCACTGCACAAATTTGGGCCAAGCAACAACCCTCTGAAAATCTCAGTGCAAACATGTTCTGTAAAAACTTATGGGAGCTTGTGAGCTCAAGTCCATGAATGTTCTGTCACTCTCAGCTCCTGTGTGCCAGAGGCTCTTCACATTTACTGCACATACAGATTCAGTGAGTGTGCTCCATCCTAGGGCACAAAAATCCATCAAACACTTGACCTTCTGTTTCTCAGTGCTGGCACTGAGTTCTCAATCTCTCCTCCTGGCATGGGTAATGTGAAGGGTGATCCTGTCTGACTGAAATGCAGGAGGGACAGGAATTCTTCCAACCACTGAAGCAGTGCTGGTAGGCCTATAATGCCCTATACCAGTGGCACACTGGTCCTTCAGACCTGAAGCCCTTGGTGGTCTGCAAGACTGAGCTCTGGGAGTACTTGCTAGGGTGCTGAGGGTCCCTCAGGAGCACCAAGACAGTATCCTAAGGGTTTCTGTTCATAGGATCACCTTACAGGACACTGCTCATGCAACCCGTGCTTCTGTATACTAGCGCATGACCCACCTGGAACAGCCCCAGCCAGCCAACCATGAGCGAAGCTGTTGCAGCAGACCTGAACCAGGCCCTTATTACCACAGCATGCTGTTGTTACACTCCACACATGGGTGCTTATGCAAAATGTCCCTGTCTCAGGATAGACTTGCAGACCTTTAGTGTATTAATGGTGCCACCTACACTGCTGCACCATGCTCCAAAAACTGGGAGTTAGAAAGCACACTTGCACCTTGAAGAGTTCCAGAAGTATCCAAAGGACCACAGACATGAGAAAACCACTAGGAACTATCTTTCTTACGCACTGAGCACTCACTGACAGTCCCAGCAGAGACACTTAGCACCTTCACAGACACTGTGATACATACATATAGCTCTGTCACCCATGAGGAAAAGGAAGAGAAGAACTGATTTTATCTTGGTCTTTTTAAGGAGGGAGGTGATACATTGATTATGGTGCAGTGCACTTCTTAACCTTTCAGGGTGGAGGGCATCCTGTTGTCTTTCACAGGTGAGGATCACACCATCAGCAGTCTGGGTCAGTGGTGGGAAACAGCAAGACACATCCTTCCAGAGGTAAATCAGGCTTCCTTGTCCTACCAGTAAATTCCCTTAAGCCTCTTTGCAACCAGAATTCCTTCTCTCCATCTCAGCACTCTTCTCCCACACACCTCATGAACTGTTTTAGGATTTTATCCATTTAACCTACACACACAGCACCAGCACAGACACAGAGTTGTCAAAAGCAGTCACTGGAGTCACATCAGGTTAGAGAGGCAGGGAAATACCTGGGATCACCAGGCCTCTCAGGGATGAGTCTGTCATTCTCTTCCATCATTTTTAAGGAAGCATATCCAGCTTGTTGGTATAAGAGCTGTATATTGCTGCTCAGTGCACAGAATGAACCACGGCATGGAGATGAGTCAGGATTGTGCAATGAATCAGATCTTGCCCAGAGGATCCTGGCTCTTTTGTTGCAGAAAGTGAATGCAATGACTGCAGGAAGAAAAGAAATAAGTGGCTGCTGGCATTTGTATGCTGCTCAGAAGGACTGGATTCTATTTTTGTCTTTTGCACAGACTATTAGTCACTTAAAAACCCATTTTTCAGGGGTGGCCATTAACTGGGTGCAGCGTTTTGCTGAAAACCTAAATTCTAACCTTGTGTTTTTAAGGCTAAAAATGTAGCTGGCAATGTAAAGTAATGAGCTGTAATGTTACCACTCCATACTTTATGAGGATGGTACCAAATACATTGAATGTGCTTTGTGAAACTCACAGTTCCTACACTGAGAAGTCCGTAACAAAATTACTAAGTCTGTGTTTGGAGCAGGATTTGAGCAATAAACAGTAAGGCACAGAGTCCCACATCAATCATCGAAATACTGAATAGCTGCTCATTAAGTGACTGCCATCCTTTCTGTGCACTAAATAGGCTCACGTTATTAATGACTACCTGCAATCAAATGCAAGGGAAGGCAAATCAAAGTTCTACAGACAACACGGATTCTGGCGTTTTCTAACTTCAGGATGTTTGACTTTGCAGCCTTAAAAGCCTTTATGCGATTTTTGTGTGGAAAGTAAAGATGCATTATGTAAAACAAAGCATTAAGTACCATAAAAGGAATCCTTGTAGCTTAAAAAGTGCATTAAGACTGACGTTTTTGAGACTTTACCCTGATAACTGTGGATTAGCTTAAACCTATATACTTATCAGAGCAGATTATTTGAATTGTTAAAAGGTCCCTAGCGTTTTGAAGTAGTTGAACTAAGCTACTGTCAAACAGTACAGAGAGAGTGCAACTCTGTACAAACAGACTTAATAATAATATGAAAGACATTTCAAGAGACAGGGGAAGTGTAAATTAATGTATTTTGGTATTTTAGCTAATTATTCCCTTTAGAAAACTACACTGATGAAATTATGCTTATAGCTAACGTATTCCAGCATCTGTGTCCCATGCTTCAGTGCCTAAAGTTGGCACACTTGGCCCTGGGTCTGCGGCACTGCACTAAGTTGGTCTTACAGCTCCTTCTCTATATTCATAAGGATACGCACTGCTTGCGCTGTCAGTAATAGATCTTGCCTTTTAAATTCAAGCTGTAGGAAGTAAAACCCAATCCCAGTACATCAGCCAAGAGGATAGGATCACCCTTGTAAATTAGCTACTAGAACACCAATGATTTTCATGTTCATGGTTCTACACAGAAAACCTCTTTCTGTATCCACGTTCATCTGTCCCTCTGCTTCACAGAGCTGCCAGAAATATGCTTTCCCAATACCTTTAACTGAATTTACACAAACACACAACAATCCTGTAATCTCTGAACGTGTGACTGAATTGCCTTCCTCTGGACTTCCTCCCTGGATTCCTACAAGCTCTTCTGAAAGGCTGATTCTGGATTCAGTTTTGGAAAGGTTTGTATGTAAACCATCAGGATCTCTAGCATTTAATCTATGAACATTCTAACAGAACAACAAACAGCAAACGTCAATAAAAGAAATTTTAATTCACCATTGTTTTCATGTTCATCACCACCCCATGGTTGGCTGGGATCAATTTTCCCTTTGCTTGCTCATTCCCTGTTCTGCATTTCCCTGCCATGTTGTCAAACATGCAAAGAACTGGTTTATCCCGCACCAGCATCAGCTTTTTACCATGTTACTCCCCCAAATACTGTGCAAAGCTTAGGTGTAGCCTGCAGGTTAGGACTGTGCTCTTTCTGTTTCAGTTTCAAGGCTTGCATGTGAAGTGGTAGGATTAAACAGAGCCCTTTACAAGGTATCTAGCAGCTGTGCATTTGGCAGTTTGCAAAGATGCGGGGTACCTCATTCAGTGGTGGAGTTATTTTCCTTGTTATGTATCATTTGATATGTAATTCAGATCCAATCGCACTACCACGTCAGTGTACAATCTATTCCATTTAGTCACAGTAAATTACACACTCATCATTATCCTATGAAACAGCATAGTACCAGTGACTCAATTACACCTGACAGTCAGATTGCTCTATGTTCAGTGTCTTCCTATTATGCCTGAGCTTCTTGCCGTTAAGTTCAGCGACGGTCTTCTGTTGATTTAAAACCAGTAGGAATTGAAGAGATTTTAAGAAATAATGTGAAAATTGCTATCATTAACTTTTCCCAAAACATTTACTGAAATAAAAAAAAAAAAAACTTTTTTTTAAATTTCATTTCCTTTGTTTTTCTCTTCTCTTTGTTGTGCTTCTCACTCGCCTTCTCCATCAGTTTGAAAAACTAAGTCCATAATATCACCTTTGAAAAGGGCTTTGAGAGCTGTAAGTCAAAAACTCCTCTTTGTAAGTGTCACTACAATCAATTTCAGACCATCTTTCCTCAAGTTAACTTGTATTACCCAGTAGTAAAGCAGATTAAGCTGCCCCTCATAATACAACTGAAAACTGGGAAAAATCCAAGACTATTTTCAGCTTCAAACTTGGTTTAGCCCAGTTAAATTTCAGAAGAGGAAAAAGAGAGCTAAAATCAGTTAAAGACAGACCTCTCTTGTTCTCTTACCTGGTCCTAAGCATGCAATTTCATCCACCCTAGTCCTCAGCTGCCTCTTTGTTAAACAGGGTAACACATGTTGTCAACCTCATGAAACCTTTTTTACCAGGACTGAGTCAGTAAAATCCAATGGCAGTTAAAACTATATCAACAGATGAAAACAGTAAATGTAAACCACATTTATGCTTTCTGAAGCCCCCTGTAAATGTGCCCATCAGGACACCACATCAGTTACTAGAATACAACAAAAATCTTGCTAAAGTTATAATAATAATTTCTTTTAAAAGCAAGAAAATTCTCAGTGTATCAGAATGAAACAGATAATTCTAATCCAAGATCCATGGAAAAGTAAAATTGTTTAAAAAATCAATTTCCTGGGTCTATAATGGATATGCAATACCAGTTTGTCTGAGTGTAGCAAGATCTCAATAATTCATACATAATCACATACTGAATACTGTAAGTCTGACTGCAAAAAGTGCAACTTCGTAAGTTGTTACTATGGTTCTGGAGGAAATCCAACCATGCTGAGAAAATCTGTGCTGAAAAAGCTTCTAAGGAGAGGTAATATGTTCTATTACATGAAATCAGACCAAATACAAGGACTGTAAGCTTGAAAGCTTGTTTATTTCACCAATTATAGATGATAAAATAGAAGAAATGTCTTCCTACAAGCCTAACTTTTCTTATAGATCACCAAAGTATTACTTCAAAAGCATTGACAAGAAACACTTCATTATGGTTGATGAACATTAACAAACAAATGGACATCTGAAATGACATAATGAAACATGGCCATTTGGAACTCTTCCTTCACCAATAAAGCCGAAAATAACTTAGAACTCACACAGAGCAGAAGACTTGTAGTAATTTTCACTGTTCTCTACATAGCTCTAAAGCCATGGGAAGCTAGTGATTTTCCTCTACTTATCTGGATTTTCCTCATAGCAATGAAAAGAGCAAAAATAAGACATTTTAAAGCTCCAATGTAAAAACATAAAAAATAGGTGGAAAAAAAAATCACTGGCATGGAAAAACTTGGAAAGCTTTTTAGTTCATTTTATCTTTCAGTTACTACAGTTCAAGTTCATGGTGTCCCTTAGACCATAAGAGAAGCTTTGATTTCAGGCAGACTCTGCAGTTTTGCATATCTTACCATGCTCTTTAGAGGAGCACACTGTGATCTGTGGTTTTCAAAATGACTCCTGTTCTCAAAGCAATATCTGAAGTAATGTTAGAGATCTTAATCACCAGGCACTGACATTTGCTGTTTATTCAGACCAGCTGGAAAGCATGTATGCATTTGACATTTATTGTGGGCGAATTTGGACAATTTTATGATTCATGATTTGCAGCAAATGATTTCTGTATGTGTGCATGTGAATTCTCTGGCTTTATCTTCACACTCAGAACTTCTTTGGAATAAGTATTACTCAAACAACACCCATTAGCCTGAGCATGTCTGACTGAAACACTACCCTGAAGCCATGGTTCCGTAATTGCTAAGTTTAATTTGCTGGCTACCTAGATTGTCCTTCACATCACACTTACCAATGGCCTCTACAGCCTGAACTCCTGGTGGTCCAGTTTCTGACATGTTCCCATTCCTGCTGACCCGTGTTTGTACCTCCAAGCCTCTTGCGTCAGTACTGAGCTCCTGATTTCATTGTCCTTGGAAAAGGAGGACATGCTATCCCCCTGGAATCCTGGCCAGCAAGCTGCACAAATTCAGAAGTAAATACCAACAAATAAAGAAAATCAGAACTTAAGCAAATACAGCTGTTAATCTCTCTTTCAATTATGAGAGTGAGCAATACCTCAGCAGTAACTCTGGAAAGCTCACTGGGTCAGCAACTACCATTAATAGCAGAAAATGTTATCTGTGGGAGTTATCGACTTCTAAATTCAAGTACTTCTATCTTGTGTCACGACCAGTGTTGATACTGACCAGGAGCCATAGCAAGCAGAGATGGACTGTAAAATCCAGGTTCTCCAGTGACTCGTAAATATGGGAAGACTTTCAGGCCCAGATGTCTACATCTCCAAAATCACACCTAGAACATCCAGCCACATCATACTTGAAATCATAGAATTCTGGGTTAGAAGGCACCTCCAGCATCATCTTGGTCCAACTTTTCCAGGCAAAGCTTTACCTAGACTAGATGTTCCAGCACCCTGTCCAGCTATTAAGTGTCCAATGTTGGAGAATCCACCACTTCCCTGGGGAGATTATTCCAGTGGTTGATTGTTCTGTGAAAAATTTTCTCTTGTATCCGATTGGAATCTCCCCAGGAATAATGTGTGCCATCACCCCTCATCTTTTTCATGTGACTAATTGTAAAAGGGGAGTCTCCATCTTCTTTGTAGCCACTCTTTAAATACTGAAACAGTATAACACAGAGCCTCTCAACAGTGGAATAAAGTACCTACAATACAATATGGCTCTATGATACAACATTAAGATACCATAATCCCTGTCTGGATATTTTAGTATGCCCTTCCTATGCATCCTGGGCTTTTCAATCTCCAAGTGCTCGATCTATGCCAAAAAGATTTACAAATTTTCAGTTCTCTTCTACTTTAATTTATACAGTGACACAAAAATGGGGGTTTTTGAGAAAGCTTGAGCTGGGCCACCAGCCTGTCAGATGGTGTGAAACTTGGCTGGATGGCCAGGCTCAACCAGTAAAAACAAACACTTGACATGTAAGTAGTGTAGAACACAGTGTGCAGCATCTTGACCCGAGGCCCAGAGGATGACACGACATGTACCCAGAGCAGATTTATGGAGTGGCTGACATGAGGACTAGCAGGACTTAATCCAGAGAGCTCAGTCAATTTGAGGATTAGGGCAACAGATACCTCCGGCTTAACAGAGGATAACCCCAGGCATCGGGACACGCAGGAAACCGGCTGGGCATCAGCCCATGAAAAGGACATGTAGATGAGGCCTTCAGCTTAGTGGTGACCTTGGCAGTGCTGGGGTAATGGTTGGACTTGATGATCTTAAAGGTCTTTTCCAGCCCAGATGATTCTATGGTGGTATTAGGCTGAGCATGAGCCCATTTAAGTCAGCAGTGCTCCCTCACTGCAAGTAAAGCAAACTTCACCCTAGGTTCACTGACAGAGGTGTGACAGGGAGTATATAATTCATCCCATAGTCATTACAACAGAGCAAAACTTTTCACAGAGGCTGACAAATTCTAGTTTAACTAAATGTTTATCCAATATTCACAGAATAAAAAGTAGCTTTTCCCAGCATAATGTAGCTGGGAGATTAAGGCAGCAGTCCTTGCCGGAGCAGGGAGTTTCTGGAGTAGTTTTCTGCCTTCAGTAGAAGGGTAAAACAATGAACAAGTTGCAAAGTGGTGTTTAACAGTTCATAAAAAGACTGACATAATACTGTTGCACATGACAGCAAGTAGTGCTATAGGAGGTATCATCCAGTCCTAAAATCCTGAGTTCTGCATGCACAGACAGTGAGAAAAAAAATGAAAGAAGATAAAGAACAGTTTCTGAAACAATAAAAGAGAGAAAAGAGGACAGAAACACATGGGTGTTGGCAAACAAAGTCCTTGGAGGTAATGAAGAATCTTCCCTGCAAACTTGGTGACTTCCTTGTCAGAGATCACAGCACTGTCTCAGTGTGCCCTAATACCACTGCCTTTAACACCCCTCATTTTACAGCAGTTTCATTGTGATGGCTGCTTTCAGAAGCACCACTGCTTTTAGCAAAACAGCAATACCACATTTTATACAGTGTGTGCCATGGGATTCCAAGCAACACGATTTTGAACTGTTTCCTTGAATCCTTTATCTACAAAGCAAAGCCTTTCTACCATTTGGTCACATCGTCCTAAGCACAGATAATTTGAAGCCCCACGCATGCACAAATACATGGCTTTGAAAGGATGAGTTTATCTATCTGTGGTCATCAGCACTTTGTGTTTCAGGTCCTAGTGGCTTTTTAAAACCCCTAATGGGTTTTAATTTTGCACATGGTTTTGCCTGATTAATGTTATTTGTACTGCTCACACTATGTTCTTGTTTATTAAAAAGCAATTGAGAAGGTAATTGAGCTCTGCACTCATGGGTTTTAAAAACTATTTAAATGCCTTCTTTTGTTAAAATAATACAATAAAAGACTTACTAAAATCAAGACTGAAAGGCAGCATAAGAGGTGGCAAAGGTAAGTGCTGCTACCTTAGTGGAAGCAGCAGCATTGGCTGTAGGAGATGTCCGGAAAAAGGAATACTCTTCAGCCAGGCCAACCAGCCCCAAGAATAAACACCCATTTGAGGACCTTTGAGGTCAAACCTCGGAAGAAAATAAGACTCAAATGAAATCTGGAAGTCCCACTAACCACCCCAGAGGCCCAGCACCTTCTTCAAAGCAGTGCATGCTAATGAAGCCACAGCAAACATAAGGAGGATGCAGTACCACCATACCAATTAGCTGGTGCTGAGTGACACACAGAGATTGGAGACAGTGGGGCAGTTTCAAGGATAGCTGTTTCCTCAAGGATGGAACCTGTCACACAGGTATGCTGCTCTGCAGAGACTTCAAGGAAATTGTTTCTTCAGTGCTGATAACCTTCCATTGTCAGGTCCCATTAGCCACTGGTAGACATCAGAGCCCAAGAACGGCAGCATATCAAACGAAATTGCTCTAGAGCAAGACAGAAAGGAAATTACTAGTTTGACAGAAAGGACATCACTCTTCAGGGGCCTTTATCATCTTAGGTTTCAAGTCACTACACCATTTTGAAGTTCACTTGGGGGAAAAATTAGTCACAGAATCGTATGGTTGAAGTTGCAAGAGGGTATGACAGCAATGCAAGCATAACCATAATCTTGGACACAGGTAACCAGATGCAATAATTATTGGCCATCAAACCAATTCACATGAGAAGATGTATCCAGGACACCTCTCATGGCTTTTATCTTTATTTAGCTTTATTTCTGCCTGAATAGAGTTCTATTGGTTTCAAGAGCCTTTGTCTGCCAGGGAAAGTAGCTGGCTGTGTCACAGCTGACGCAAGAGGTTACCACAAACAAGTTTCCCATTTGACTCCAGAAAGTCACATAGTCTGGTTTTGTTTGAGTAAATTCCCAGTATTTCCTTTCCTTTTTAAGATGGGTCAAATAAACTCCCATACAATGTTATACACCCATACAACATGAAAATGCACAAACTCACTGCTGCATTGTACGAACTGAATCAGTATAAAAGTGTATTGCAGATACTAAAACTGACAATAAATACCATTTTATAAAATAACTATTCTTAATGATAATTTAATCGTGTATGTAAAGGTACTGAAATGGATTTTCCTTAAAATTACACACACCTTCGACCCACTGGCAAACTTCTGGCACCACTTAAAATAAAGGGTATGAGCCTGTTCATAGTAACAGTGACTCCATTAGTGCCCCTGACAGCTCTAAAGGTTTAATCATGCAGACAACTTGTATGTCAACCTGACACTGCAGGATAAAATTTGTCCTCTTATTATGCTTTGAAAACCTAGGAAACTGAACTTTAAAACATCCTGAAATACTGAATGTACTACAAAGTTGCAGTATTTACCACTCGAGTTACAAGCATGAAAGTGAAAATAACACTGCAGAAAAGCTCAGCTATTCAACCTTAATGGAAAGGGGGGGGGGGGGGAAGGTGTATTATATAGTAATACACAGTCTACTGCTTTGTTTACCTTCTTGGGCTGACCCTGTCATCATGGCTTGAATCACAGCCTAAAGCCTTGTTGGCTCAGAAACTGCCATACAGTTGCAGGACGAGATGCCAGTGGGAGTTAGGACTGCTAATGCTATAGCTGTGTTAATTGCACATGCCTCAGCGCTTCCTAAAACACAATAAATCAGCTTCTTGTTTGTTCACTGAGCTTAATGCCAACACCAACCTGAAATCTCCGCCTATCAGTGCAACACTCCTTGACTTGGGTGCACAGCTAAGATGCAAGGCTGCTTTGCACAGAACCAGGAAAACTCCAGGCTCTACCCCTGTAACATATTTTCAACACGTAATGAGACAAACTGCAGGCTGGGAAATTCCTGGAGCACTGGCTTTGGTGTGAGATAAAGTTGTATCTCTCTTAAAACAATTATAAAATGGATTCAGAGAGATGAATCCTTACCTAAGTCTGGGGTTTATTCAAGTAACTTCAGAACTGGACATGTGAAAACAGGGTATCTCCCCCCAGTCTGTCTTGTAGAATGTGCTAACTCTTGATATTCGATTTGATATTCAACTTGATATTTTAAACCACCAACTTTGAAAAAGGGACCTGCAACTTAGAGGAGAAAACATCTGCAGACAGTTAACTGTAATGCAACATCATGTGTGATATAAAACCCCTCCAGTGAGATCAATTATTCCTTTCCTAGCTCCAGGAATCCCTATGGAATGAACACTTTTCTATTTGCCATATTACTCTCAAAATCACTACTCAAGCTAAGCAAAATTCAGACAAAAAAAATCATAAAATAAAGCTTTATTATATTCAAACAGACAGTTAAGTTACTTCTTAGTAACTAGAGAGGACAAAAGCATGCTCTTCCAGCTAGCTGGCACTTTGTCTTCATCTCCACAGCACCTGCATGCACATTCAGTTAACAGCTGATAGGG